AAAATAAAAAGTTGTGTATCTTAATAAAAATCTCAATTAATGTGAAAGGTTGCGAATGCTAAATAAAATGAAATGTGGAGTATTTTTATATTTTATGATTTGTTAAATACCCTTAAAAGTGTCTTTTAAGGAAACAAATAAATAATTAACCTTCTCTGATTATTTTTATATTTAATTTTAAAAATGGTTTTCATTTAAACTTGGCATACAAACTTTATAAAGTAGTTCCATAATTTGTTTAACACGATACACCTTGGATTGTATATTCATTTCTATAGGTGTGTAGTATATATCATCAGGAGTCATGCCTTTCCATTTTTCAAAAAAAAAAAAAATTGATGTTAGTGTCTATGTACTTTCATTACCATACATATGAATGTATATATTTTTATACTTATTACAAGGTACAATAAAACTTTAAGGTTGTTTCATATACACTTCTTTTTGAACCATCGATCCATATTATGGATCATAGTCCATAGCACCCGACCATGAACAATATGTTTACCACTCATGATGGCTCGGCCTTAACTCTAATGACTTGCATCTATAAGTATCAATGATATTATGTTCGTTCACTTTTGGTAACATTATGTTCGCACCCTTTCGGTGATGTTATAAACATATTCACACCTTTTTGATGACGTTACATTCTCACCATTTTGGTGATGTTACATTCGCACCCTTTCGGTGACGTTCCATTTGCACCCTTTCGGTGACGTTACATTCACACCTTTTCGATCCTGAACCACTCGCACCCTTTCGGTGCCAAACCATTCGCACCCTTTCGGTGCCGTACCATTCGCACCCTTTCGGTGCCGAACCGTTCGCACCCTTTCGGTGCCGAACCGTTCGCACCCTTTCGGTGCCGAACCGTTCGCACCCTTTCGGTGCCGAACCGTTCGCACCCTTTCGGTGCCGAACCGTTCGCGCCCTTTCGGTGCCGAACCGTTCGCACCCTTTCGGTGCCGAACCGTTCGCACCCTTTCGGTCCCGAACCGTTCGCACCCTTTCGGTACCGAACCGTTCGCACCCTTTCGGTGTCGAACCGTTCGCACCCTTTCGGTGCCGAACCGTTCGCACCCTTTCGGTCCCGAACCGTTCGCACCTTCCGGTCCTGAATTGTTCGCACCCTTTCGATCCCGAACCGTTCGCACCCTTTCGATCCCGAACCGTTCGCACCATTTCGGTCCCGAACCGTTTGCAACCTTTCGGTCCCGAACCGTTCGCACCCTTTCGGTCCCGATACGTTCGCACCCTTTCGGTCCCGATACGTTCGCACCCTTTCGGTCCCGATACGTTCGCACCCTTTCGGTCCCGACACGTTCGCACCCTTTCGGTACCGACATGTTCACACCCTTTCGGTCCCGATACATTCGCACCCTTTCGGTCCTGCCATGTTCGCACCATTTCGGTTCCAATACGTTCGCACCTCTTCGGTCACGACACGTTCGTACCTCTTGGTTCATGACACATTTGTACCTCTTGGGTCACGACACATTCATACCTCTTAGGTCACGACATGTTCGTACCTCTTGAATCACGATACATTCATACCTCTTCGGTCACGACACATACAAATATTATCTTCTAAAAGGTCAATATTAATATTTAAACTTATGAAAATGTATGACAAATATGATTGTGGCTATTAAAATGAAATATATGTCTTTTCAATGAAGAGTTGTCAAATATTTGATGACATCATCAATCATATGAAAAAAAATTTTTTGGTCCATTAGATCTTAAAATCAAATTAATTATGACCATTGGATTGAATTTTTTTTTTCCTATAAAAAAATGCTGATGTCACTTTCAGTTTGCTATTATATATAGATATATATATATAATACTTTAATTGTTTTTTTTTTTGGAAACACTAATACTTTAATTGATTCTATTCACTAGCTAATGCATACATTTTTAGAATGATAATAGTTTTGGCAAGTTCATATAATCTTCTCGGTATGATGTGATACTTGAAATAGTTCTTGTAATGAAATGATATGCGAATACTAACCAGATAATATGTTGGCTCAAATTACAGATACTTAGCAATGGAATTTACAAAAGCGTGGAGCATCAGGTGATTGTTAATTCTGGTATGGATCGAGTCTCCTTAGCACTCTTCTACAACCCAAAAAGTGATATCCCGATCGGACCAGTGGAAGAACTCTTAACCGAGAACCGACCTGCTCTTTATAAACCGATCAGGTTCGACGAGTATCGTCTTATGATTAGGCAAAAGGGTCCTAGTGGGAAAAATCAAGTCGATTCATTGTTAGCAAGCACATGATAGTTGATAATTTGATATACATCCCAAGTATAATCAGTTACTCCTATGTACTTCTATGTACTTCTATTGTCGTACTTCAATAATATGTAAACTGTATACTTGCGCTATGTACGAAGTAAAAATTTTAATACTACATAAGTATGAATTATGTGATGATTAAGTTATGAGAATCATTGTGATGATACTACATAAGTATGAATTATGTTAGAATGAATTAGCTGATGTCACCTCTCACTTGTTAGAGCATCTCCACCGGTGTTATCCCCATTTGAATCCTTAAAAAACTGTTTTTGAATTTTTTAATTATTATTATTTTTTTAGATTAAAAGAAAAAGAAAAAAAAATACCAACCATGCGGATTACCATATGTCCTGGAAACCCACAAATAGTGAAAAAATTCATTAAAAAACAATCCTTATTTAGAGATTTTAAGAATTGAATTATTATTTTTTTATGGAATCTATTGATTATTTAATTATTTTTCCCTTAAAAACTTTTCCGAAAGATTTTCATCCGAAATGCTCTTATAAATTTAAGACAAAATAATTTATTAAAAACACTTCTTTTTAATAAATAAATAAATTTTTTATCTCCCGAGTCCTGAGATTGTCGGTTACATGTAAGAGAGAATTTTTTTTTTCTAAAAAAAACTGTGCTTCTACTCTCAGTGGTTCATGTTAAAATATAGTACATAAATCTATTTGGGAAAATATTTTACTTTGAAGCTTGTAACTGTGTAAAAGAGTATTGAAATAAGTTTGATTAACAGAATAAGAAAAATAAACAAATACACCCTCTGTTTTATTATAAGTGTCACTCTATTGCTGTGCACACGGATTAAGAAAACAATTAATTTTACATATTTCCTATATAAAAACACAGTTACCCATACACCTAACCATATTTTAACCAATAGAAAAACAAATTACATAATAAAATTAATAAAGTTTGCATTGAAAACCGAAAACGACACTTATTTTGTAACGCAAAAAAATCTCTACAACGACACTTAATATGAAACGGAGGGAGTATTTAAATAGTTGCACAAAAAATTCAGTAGGACACGACAATTAACTAACTGTACTATACATGAAGATGAACGGTTAGCTTCTGGTTTCTCTCATAAGCTAATTAATTAATGACTTGCAAACTGTCGCACGGCGCCTAAAGTATTGGTTCCCCATCTCCTTCACTTTTAAAATCATTAAAGAACACATAAACAGTCAAACAGATGTTGTTCATCTATCCACAACTCTAACAAAACGTGTCTTGTTATGTTAATTGGCATCCAACTAGCTCAACATGCAAAGCTATTTAGGTCAACAAGTGGAATAAAATAATATCGTGTCTTATTATGCAGTTCAACCTCGTAATTCACTTACAAAAAGTTGAATAAAAGAGTATAATTGTTTTACGTTTCTTTTTCGGCTTAAAATTGTTTTACAAAATAGTTGCAAGCTGGCCCGAGCCGATTGTTTTCGTTCAAACCTTGTCCAAGACCGGTTTGTGAAACCGACTCATCTGAAACCGGTACTCAACTCCGACCAGACCGACGCTAATATAGAAGTCTTCTACAAAGTTTTTGACCATTTTGAACATTCTACTCCTCTCTTCTAACACCAGTAGAACCAGCTAAGCCGTTGAGAGAACCAAATATCAATAAAAAGATTCTCCTATGAGAAACATTAGGTGGCATGTGTTATGCTTAACTAGGTTTTACTTAGAGCTGACATTTTATCTGTTGTATTTGATTCGATTTGTTATTGTTTCGATTCGATCCGAAAATTCCGGATATCCGTAAACTTTTGAATCAAATCAAATATTAAATGTCAATATCCGTTAAAATCGAAGCAAATCACAAATATTAAAATTTTGGGAAACGGATATCCGATCCGATCCAAAAATATATAAATATATGTATATCTTGATTATATTTAAAATTTTAAATATATAAGATTATATAATTATTAATCTAGCACATGATTTTGAACAATTCTATTCACATTATTACTTATATAAAAGTATTACAAAAGAGAAAAAAAATTTATGACAATTATATTTTTTTCCTTAAATTTTGTGTTACTATAATTGTAACTTAAAATTAAAAAAATACAAAATATGTAAATTCACTAGTTCTTTTAATTTTTATTTTCTATATATCATGCAAAAAAATATTTTTGAAAAGCAAATTTGTATCAAAATCTTAAGATTATTTGTATTAATCAAAATGGATGAAATATCCGTCATATTTGTAAATATCCGCAAATATCTATTTAGTTTCCGGATATTCGTTTTTCCGGATATCCGTATTTTTTCGAAGCAAAGAAAATACCAAAATTAGATATCCGTAACGTTCGAATCAAATCACAAATACCTTAAAAAAAACCCGGATATTCTGTGTCCACCCCTAGTTTTACTTATATAACTAGTATATTTTGGCTTCAGTATAGTTTAAGTTGTTTTTAACTGTCTCTAGAATAAATCTATTCTATTAAAACAACCTCTTTTTTCGACATTCCTTAATTTTACAATAATATTACAAGTTGTGCCATTCTTATTTACTTACGGTCTTTTTAAGATATATTTTGTTTCTTAAATATTTACTTCATATCTTTCAAACAAATTCAAGAGCAGTAAAATGAACTAGGCACGTTTCCAAACTGTGTTTACGAAACTAATATGATCAAGACCTATTTATGGTTCTTAATTATTTTATATCTGTTATTTTGTCTATCAAATTTTTGTACAAACGTTCTAGTTTCATAATTGCAAAAATGAATTATCTTTTAAAAAATTAAAAGAGTGGAAAGAGAAATAACAAGTTCTTGCATGAGAACTACAACAAAACAGTAAGAGATATTATTTTTTGAGATTTAATTTTAACTACTAATTCAATTATAGTACAACTAATAATATCAAAACAGGTAGATAATCCTTCTCAAGACATTCCGGTGGTCATGCTCTAAATGAAAGGATTTTTCTAGACGATTAAAAAATTGCCTAATGCGCTGTTCCATGTAGACACTAATAATAATCATTATAAAAATGCATAATTGTTGCCTAGCAATATCTTAAACATTACATCTTATACTGTATAAATTCGCTTCACCTTCTTCATCTTCCTTCTACAGACCGGACAACTCCCACTAGCTTCTGCTATCCTGTGCGCATATTTTGCCATCACAGCGTTAGCTATGTTGAATCAATCTCAATACGATAATTAACAACATTTTCTCTCATCCACTAGATTTGATATGTAGACAGTTGTATATTATATTAGCTCATTTTAAGGGACATATAATAAGTTGGAGAAAAACTTACTTGGTTCCGCATTGATAACAAGAGACGCAATGGCCACAGGGGAGGAAAAAACAATCTCGTTTAGCATCAAAACAAATGGCACAGAGACGTCTACTGCTATTACTTGCTTCACCCTCATTACCAATAAAGTCTTCAAGGTCAGCATCATCTGCTGCAAAAGATTCATTAGACGAGCCCATGCTTGAACCATCTTCATCTTTGTTTATAAGTAAGCGTGTACTCGCTGAATCATTTTCTGTTTGATCTCTCTCTTCACCATTACACTGTAACCTTTTCCAGAGTTGTATAGCTACCAGCATGAAGCAAGTCACTAACCCTGCATGTATATGGTTCCAGAGTATAAACTTTCCGGTGTTCAAATATGATTATGAATTACTTTAAAATGATCTGAAATTTTTTTACCTGTGCCGATTACATATGAAGTCCATCTTGGTTGATATGAGAACCTGATATACCATTCTTCTTCATCTTCTTCTTTAACTGATGTTTTCTGAACTCAGAGGCAATGAGAAATAAGCATTAAACTGAGAGTAATAAATAAAGATTTTGTGGGTGTGTTTCCTTGTGAATACATACCTGCCTCGGTGCTGGTGAAGTTAAGACAATAGAATTTCCAAAAAGAGACATTGTATTGAATGTGCACTCCCCGTTGCTGAATGTACACTTGTAGAATGATTGTTTAGTATCATACAAGATAGCCTTGACACCAATATCCAGTTCCACCTGAACAAAAAATCATCTCAAGTACAAGAAGTGGAGAAGAAACACAAAAGAACACAAAACTTATTCTGAAGGCATTACTTAATCAGTAATACTACCTCTACGTCCTTCATGTTGGAGTTAGCCACAGCAACATAATAACTTGAAGACTTACTTATCTTCACATCAATCATACCACTACCTGTAAAGGACCTTTGTTAACTCCTGAGGTAATCAATGCAACCAATACATTTTCTCCTGTTTTATTAAACCTTGAATCAGATTCCATGAGAGAGCTGTGTCCTGAGATGCATGTTTCTCCAACAACTGATAAGAGGCCGTTCCTATGAATTGAGAGGATTAAAATAATCAGTTGACATTCCTAAACGGAAACACTTTCAAACAAACAACTCCTACACATTTTACTCCTATCACCTCTATTTCCTTATTTTTGTAAGAGTTATTGGCTTAGTTAGAAAAGTTATCGACTTTGCTTATGGGTTTTCTCTGTTGTCTGTTCACCAGTACGGAAGAGTCATGATTACTTAATCAAGCTATGACCAAAAACGAAACAACAAAGAGATCACAACCGAATATAAACCAACCTTCATCGACCACAAGCCGAGCTGAACGGCCTTCCGGTTTAACATTATATGAAATACTCAACGAAGCTCCTTGGTTCAGATAGTATGGCCATTCCTTAGAGAAGTTAAATCAGTTCAATAAATTGTCTAACTACAAGAAGCTACATATGTTTTAATTAAAGAGTCAAGTGAATCTTTAAACAAACCTTGTAAGAGTTATGTGAGACAGAAACCAAGCGGGACTCTGACCAATTCACTACAACATCAAGAGGAGGAGATGTATAGAACCCAAATAACTCTAGTCCAGATTTTAAATCATCTAACTCTTTCACCTAACAAAATAAAATAAAAAACATATTCTCAGCAACTTAGCACACAGTCTCTCCTGATAAGAGTAAACCAGACAACAACCTTTATGCTTTTGACAAAAATGGTGTTTGGTTCAATGAGGACAGAAGAGTTGGGTCCAATACAGACATTTCTTGGTCCGTAAACACCAACAATCATTGCCATCGACACTGAGTCAACGAGAATCAGTCAAATTTCGGACAACAGTTCCAAAAAATAAGGACAACACTTTCAAAACAGAGCAAAGTAAAAAAGTGTCGGAAAAACTAACCAAAGAACCAGAAAATGATAACCACAGCGAAGCAGGACACGCGTTGTTCATCACCGACCGTTGAAGCGTCCCCACCGGACAAGGGAAGATCGGGCCGGTTTAGATCCCCTGCATACCGGTGATCGAATTCTTGGTTAACATTTTCTTCCTCTGTATCTGAAGAAGATAGAGAGGGAAGAAGAGGAGGAGCTGAATCCATCTCGGGGAATCTAGAGAAAGCAGGAAGTGAGTGATGGAAAGGATGATGAAACCCTTTTTAAGATGTAAAGAAGGAGAAAGACCTGTGAATGTGTGAGGAGGTGAATCCATGAAGATAAAGTAAAGTAACGGTTACACTGTTTGAAAATGGTGGTATCACCTGCGAGTCTTCGTCGTTGAACGGTAGAAAAGTAAACGACGGTTGTCGAGGCTTTATAAGGTTTGACTTTTTGAGGGTTCTTTTGTACTTGTAATCGCTAAAATAATTTTTTTATATGTCATGTGATTTGTTTAGAAATTATGACGTTTCATTCTTTCATAAGAGCATCCACAATGGAGGATTTAAACAAATCTTTAACACGTATTCTTAAGGAAATAGATTTAAATAATATTATTTAATTTCTTTAAGTTAAAGATAGGTTCATGCTAGGCCAAAATTTGTTTTTAGCTTTTCAGAGAGAGAGAGCAATCAGATATGTTTTTGGTCCGGCGTACGGGCAGCGCGTGAGCGTTCGTGCCGTCGTTGGGATCCTTTTCTTTGCTCCGTTTTTGTTTCTTCTCCCTCGTGTATGGTGTAGCTTGAAAGTTAAGGTGTTGTTTTCGGGAGATGGAGGCTACCAAAGACCCATTGCCGTCGGTTTTCTTCAGGAGGTGGAGGCTTTCTCAGATCCATCGTCGTCGATTTAGCTTCCGGGAAGGAGAGACTCCTTTAGTTCCGTCTTCGTCGGTTTTTGGTTACGGAGAGTGGAGGCTCGCAAAGCTCCACGCTGCCGTCATGGAATCCGATATCTTTTGGGTTGTGGCTATTAGATCTGTGGGTGTAAAGTTGTGGTGTTGTTTCTATTCCTATGCTTGGTTGCTTGGTTCATGGCGGATGAGTTCTCGGTTGACAGTGGAACTCTCCGATGACGGCGACAACGTAAAGGAAGAAGAAAGTTGCGGTTCTCTGTCCGTCTATCTAGGGTTTGATGTGATTTATAGTCGGATGAGATCTCGTTTTGTTGCGATGGAACTTTCCGACGTGAAGATAGAACGGCGAAGAACATATTTGGTTTCGTTTGGAGGCTCTCCGGAAGATCGAGATGAGATATCGTCTCGTGTCCGGTGAAGAGGTTGAGGCTGCACGGCGACCGAAAAGGACAAGCGGTTTCTGATTAGGGTTTATGTTTATTGGGCTTAAGACCCACTTATGTGTTTCTTTAGTTAGGCTACTGTTCGGTCCTTTTCTAATTTTAAGTTTGTTGCTGGACTTTGGGCTAGACCCTTTTATTTTATAAAAATTAAAGTGACAGTTAAAGATCAGTTCTTAATTAAGATATTTTAAAGACTTGATACTTAATGACGTGGCAATGTTCGATTGTTGAAATTTTTAACTTAAAAAAAAATTAAACCGTAAGATCTAAATTCTAACCCTTAAACTCCATAACTCTAAACCTTAAGTCTACATTAGTTAATTCAAAGAGTATAAATGTGTTTTTACATTCTTTAATAAGTCTATTTTAATTATATTTTTTCTTTATAGATTATATTTGTGATAAAAATATTTTTTAGGTTTTTCTAAGTCATTTTCTCATAAAATTTTTAATTTCACATGTTTTAAAATTTAATATTTTTTTTCCTAAGAACTCCATAATGGATAACACCATTGGATGAACATTTGTGATTAGAATCCTTAACTATTTAACAAAAAAAAATTATTATATTTCTAAAGACTCTAATAATGGATAACACTATTCGAGGTGCTCTAAGTCTCTACCTGAGAAATTCGTAAGTTAGACTCCATCCGTTTATTAAAAAATATCAATTTTCACACATACTAAAAATTAATTGAATTATATTAATACTTTGGTTGTTTCTGTATGTTTTTTTTGTTCAAGTTTTTTGTGTATTTATTTAATGGATTTGAGAAGACAAAAACTTTGGTTTAGTTGAACCATCTTAAAAAATTGACAGTTATGGTGATAACGATTTTACCAATTTTCAATTGTTGTTGGTTCTTCATTTGATGATAATAGAATTTTTTGTTGTAAACTATAATTATTTCCAAAGAAATTATGAAATTCTAATTAGACAACTTTTTAAAAAGGTGATTTCATTGATTCTATTATTATTAATGGAAAAATATAAAAAGTTATTTTATGTTGGTGATTTTTATTTGAACAGTAAAAAGAGAGTGACAATTATAGTCAGTTTAGTTTGAGTCGTTAATAAATGTTTTGGACTACTATGAAAAATACATCTTTTAAGATACAACCATTCCAAAAGCAAAGATAGATCTCGTAATATGAAATTTTTAATCATTCCTATACAAAACAGACGTGTTATTTGAATCTCTAATGGTGTTTCAATTTTCTAATTTTGTTTTTTAGTTTTCATATGTTTATAATTTTTTGCCTACATAGATTAATAATACAGTTTTGCATTTATTTTTTCTTTAAAATAACAATTACCCTTCATTTATAATAATCTGATTTAGTAAAAGCAAAATAAAACAATAATTCCATATCATTTTAAACTATCATCATCACACTAGTACTATAATATCACAATAACTTTATCATACAATGTGAACTCAATATTTATCTTTATATAATAATTTTTTTATGTTTATATCAACCTCATATTTATTTTAACCATGATCTCCTTGTATACTTACTTGTATTGAAGTTTGAAACAATTTTAAATTAAAATTGTCTTAAAATAAATTTCAATTTATAGAAATCAAATGATGTCATATGTACTTATAAATGCAGTGACACAGATCTAAAATATCTATGTAGATCATATCTGTTAAAAATTAAAAGGAACTAAAATTAAAATATGAGTAGAAAATTTTAAAATCTGATCTATTTTAAACTAATAGAATTGTCTTCAACTTAGACCAATAAAACCCCAGTTAAATTTTAAGATTTAATCAATGTTTAAAAAATAAAGACTAAGGGTACACCTAGATCATATGTATGCATTAATAAGTAATATATAAATGAAACAAGAATGTAAAGAGAAACAGGATGTTAATGTAAGATAATCAAGCTATATCAAGTAGAACACACAGTAGTACAAGGATGATTCTTCACAAGAAAACTGACTAGATTAATCCTTTTAAAAGTACATCAAGTTCTTTATAAAAGCAATTACTCAAGCAAGCTCAAGACAAACCTTGACTTGTTTGACTAGTCACACACGTTCAAAGACTTGCAACAGTCTCTGAACTACTACAACTTCTAACCCCTAGATGCTTTGTCTCTCCTACTCCGGACGTACAAAACCTCTCTTGCTAAAAGCTCTCTCTGTGTGTTAACCTCAACACACGACCTAAACCCCCTATTTATGCTTCGGAGGAAACCCTAGGTTATTTGGTCAACCTAATGGAAACTTTCCATTTTCTTCACTTCAATGAATAAGACAATCTTCCATTCTTCTTATGATAGATTGCTTCTTCTCCAATGCT